TGCTGCTAATAATGACATTGGGCATTTGATTTTAAGGAGCTTGAGTTCATCCACCTAAGTCAAGGCTAGGAGCACATCACCCTTTCTTGCTACTCGCATGCATCAATCTCATAAAAAACAGAGGATATTTCAAAAGTCAGCTGGCCAGGATCCACTGCTTTTGGATCCACCTGGTCCATCATAGAAGTGATTCATCTGACTCCTGCTTACACTCAGAGCATCCCAACCACTCCTATAGCTCCACAGAGTTTCTCTGTCATTGTGACAGTCATGCCTCATGAGGCACACATTTTTCCTGGAGTGCGCTATGCTGACTGACCCCAGCGTGAGTCTGGCAGCAGAGACTCCTTCGAGATATGATGACTACTGTCTAATAAGCAATTTTCGCAATCTGGCTTGTATTAAGTTTATTAAACAGGTTAATAACAAGTTCACACATCATAAGCATTATTCAGGAAACATTTTACGGCAATTTGAGTTCTGGACAAAAAACTAATACCACGTAGTATTTCTTTAATTACCTTTACAAGCCTGTCTTTTTTACTAGCTGTTCTAACCACTACTCCTTGCAGCACGAGACAAAGATACCACTTATTTACTAGATCCGAACATGTAACAGGTGACCAGCTGCCTTTTACCGATTCAGGTAAGAAAATGCATAGTTTAGGACAACAGACAGCACAAAAGAATCAATAAAGACCGTACCTTTGGAATTGGGAATTGGCATTCCCCTGAGCAGTAATAGGCGTCGAAGGATTTAGGGGAAATAATCCACTCGCTCCAGCCAATGTCTGCGAAATCCACCTTGAGATAGCGCCGAGCACAATACCTTGGCTCATTCCACTGCTTCCTCCTCGCCTTCTTCAGTGTTTGTTCATCGAACTGGAGAGTCTGGCTCTTCTGGTGATGATTCTTCCTCTGCTTTTTCTTACTCTTTGCCTTCTCTGCTAACCGTGGCTGGAAGGTTTTGTAGGGTTTTCCATCTTCCCATCTCTCATCCTCATTGTACTGGTATTCAGCTCCTGGAAGCTCGTTATTCTGCAATGGCAACATGATGTTTGCGGAGCGTTTTCGCCGCCGCTGCCTGAGGCTGCTCCTCATGTGGTTTTCTGGCCTGGAAAATACCCTTGCCAGAGGATGATGGTGCCCTTGCAAACTAGAGACAACACTCTCTGGCTCTGAAATAGCTGAATCATTGGCGTAAATCAGAATGTAGGGTTCGTAGTGAGAAGGTGCCCTTTTCCAGGGGCGATGGCTGGTCAGATCCATTTTGACACTGATCAGGAGTTCATTGTTTTGTTTTGCTTCATGCAGGAGCTGAGTGATATCCTTCCACTGCCAGGAAAGGACATCCTGGTAAGCAGCGGAGACATTTATTAGGAAACGTCCCAGGCTCCGAGTCTGGTTCCCAACAGAAGAAAAGGTCAAAACCGAAAGAGATATCTGAATTTCAGGTTTCCTGTGCCTGTGATGAGAACAGCCTCTGGATTGGGAACAGTTGCACTCAGCATGCAGTACATCACCAATATAATAATACACCGAAGCTGACAAGACGTTTTCAGTCTTGGTGAGTGACGTCAAGTTAAAAACGTATATCTGCTGGCTTTCAGGGCTCCCTAGAAGAAGAAATACTTGGATAAGAATATGGGCATTTCAAAATGTTATAGAGAAAGGACTGAGTGCATTGCTTTCTAGGTTATACATTAAGTTCATGGGAAATTTTCACTCAGTGCTGTGGGAACAGGTTTAGGCCAGTATTCAGAAAAATAACAAAGCTGGCAAAACGGTGACCGTAAATCACACACTTTCAATCTGGTTTCCTTGTATAACTGTCTCTATCCAGAAGTACTCACACATTTCCTACTGCTCCTCTGACTTCAAGAAACAAACTAGGTCACAGCAACACAGCTTGGTAACACAGGCACTAAAGACTACATCTATCATCCAGAAATTTGAGCGATGCCACAGTAAAGTTTTGCTCTTTTGTCTTCCTCTTTCTGTAAGATTTCCAATGCTCCTCCCTCTCAAAATGCACTTAGGTGACTATGGCTGCTCTGTCTTGACTAAAGAATTGTCTTCGTCAAAAACAACTGGGATATCAATGTCACGGAAACATGCTTTAGCCCAGACCTAGCTGAAGCTGGAGAAAGGCTCCCACTGGCTTCACTAGGCACTGGATCGTCTATAAACTTGCGTTATCCTGTTGAGCCACAACATTAGTTGGAAAGACAAGATTTGCTTCCCTACTAGTAGAGGCTCAGCGTAGCAGTGGGGAAGATGAAAAGGCTGGATTCAAGCAGGGCATGATTCTCAGCGCTGCCACAGGCTTTCAAGTGTACTTCTAGGTAAGTCACTTAAGCTCTGATTGCCAAGTCATCCAATGCAAAAGAAGCCCAGCTGGTTCCCTTAAACCTTCCACTCCGGTCCGGGCCTCAGCTACAAAGCAAGGACTTTGGTGCCCGGGTGGCATTTACTCTTAGCTTTTGAAGATGTTAAAGAGACTATTAAAGAGGGACTCAAAACCATGTAACATTTGGTACAGCTACCTATGTATATGTCACCGTTTAAGGCTGGGCCGGC